CTTATGCTCAAGTAAATTTGTTAGTCTCTAAGGTGCCACAAGTACTCCCGTTCTTTTTGCGGATACAGACTAACACGGTTGCTACTCTGAAACCTAACATTTGGAGAAGACTATCAGAAGAAAATGTTTTAATCCGTTTTTGTTTTATCATTGCACATAGGAAGATGGCGATTCTACTTGACTTTGGACGTTTGGCCTGAGTTCTGATAGAGCTGGATTTTTCTTGTTTTTTTTTTTAATGGAAAGTGTTTGAATATTCATGCTGTGAAAGAAGAAAACATCCAATGGCTTCAGAATCTATGACCCCAGAGTCAGCAAAACACTATCAGATAAAAGGGAAAAGGCGGCAGCAGCAGCAGCAAGGTAGATCTCTGAACAGTGATGGTGAAGAAGTCTTCGTATTTGAAGCAAATGAAGCTTGGAAGGATTTTCATAGCTCTCTTCTTCACTTCTATGAAGCTGGGGAACTCTGTGATGTTACATTGAAGGTGACAGATAAAACTATTCACTCTTTTCCCACTACCCACATCTGTTATGTTAATGGTTTGTGAAGCATGCTCTAAAATGTGGTGCAGTTTTAATCATCTCTTGCAAATTATTACAATCCCCTGATTTTGGGGTATTGTTAAAGGCTGCTTGTAATTCTGTGAACACTGCTGGCAGCTCAGGAATTTCAGGCTGAGGTGCTGAAAATGTAAAAAAACCCACTTTATTCCAAGAATCCTAATATTCCTAATTCTCTCCTAAAGAACAAAACAAGTGACCCGGGAGAAAAGTGGGAATTTACTACACGGGTGTTAAGCAACATTATTCAGTCACTAGCTATTGTTGCATTGCATCCCTTATTCTTCATCTATACATTATCTATAGTGAAAGTTCTCTGTGATTAGGACCCCTTTTTATATAGCACAAAACAGCATTAAGTGCTTTAGATAAATATTAAGCGTGTCAAGTATCAGAGGGGTAGCCGTGTTAGTCTAGATCTGTAAAAAGCAACAGAGAGTCCTGTGGCACCTTTAAGACTAACAGATGTATTGGAGCATAAGCTTTCGTAGGTGAATGCCCACTTTGTCGGATGCATGACAAAAGCTTATGCTCCAATACATCTGTTAGTCTTAAAGGTGCCACAGGACTCTCTGTTGCATATTAAGCATGGTAGATTAAAAGAGATGGTGGAGTAGTTCCACTCCTTAGATAAGAGGCAATGCCCTAGTGAGATCCTCAGCCCCTATGCCACCCTCAGGTGCTCGGTTTTCTATCAGGATGGTGTTCCTGGATCCTATTTGGGGACTCCACATTTTCTGTAAGCCTCTGCCTAATGGATATCTGATAAATTTGAAACTCTCTCCTCCTATCCACTTAACTGATGGAGGAGAGAAGGTATAATTCATCCCCCTCCAGAGGTTACTGTGAAGAGGTGCAGAGGAAAGACATTTCTGCTACTCTGTTCTACTCCCACACTCCATTTTGGGGGAAAAGGGATCTGAGGCTGTTCTCTTCTTAATTAATATATTCATTGTCTATTGCCGCTACTGATAGGAAAGCTAAGAACAGCAGCAGAACGAAAAGACACAATTCTTGACAGTACTTTCATTGAGCTCTCGAAAGAGTTTACAATCTATTCTAAGACATTCTCCTATCCTCAGGACGCTGCCATATGAACAACTCATTGTTGGAAGGCAGGATAGTGGCAGATACATACCAGCCCTAACACTCTCCCCATTTTTTATTCTGCTATCTGAACACCTCCTTCTGGAATAATCTCATTGTTCCTTCCCAATTACCCATCCTCATGTCTCTCTCCTTTCCCCTTTTCTCCTTCTCTCTTAATCTGCATACTGTAAATGTTGTTTAAAATGTCTTATGCTTACCTCATTATACATTTGTTATCCAATTTTTTTGATAGCTTATACATCCACAAAAATGTGATTTGAATTGTATTTTATTGCAGTGGATTGAGTCAATTAAAAAAAAAATCCAAACAATTAGCCTATATCATTTAAGTCGGAGTTTCTTTTTAATCACAAGCCAGCTCACCTTAACTGATCTGCAGTGAAGTCATAATCATGTTGAATATCAGTCTATTATGAAAATTATTTTTGATATCACAAATTGAGCCATCTAGATTCAGTGCAGATTCAAGAATAACTAAGGCTGTGAGGAAGTCCTGTTGAAATGCAAATAATTAGCCAACTTTGCTAGAACCAGTATTTAAAACAATCATATTACAAGTAGTTGACGTCTGAAATACTGAATTCGGAAGCTTTTTTTTGCCCCCAAGATAAACTCCTTAAAAATATCACTTCCATCTGAAAATTGTGTAGCTATTAAGGTTGCAATTTTGTAGCTATTAAGATCACTAACAGACAAAGGATTAAAGAAAAAACTTTGTTTACTTTATGCATTTGATAGCACTTCCTGTATAACCTGTTTCCCTCTGAATGGTGTTGGGGCATGCCCTTTTCCAGGCTCTGTAAGACGGTGTTATAGTTAAGACCTGCGGCTGCAGTTACCCACCAGTAGGCAGATTTGTGCACAGAGAAGGAGGGGAAAGAAAGGCTGGGCCTTTATATTTAATGTTGTTTTCAGGCCTGCCCAAAGACTAGCTGGAGGGAAGAAAAAAGCCTCTTTTCCTCCAAATTTAAGTTGCCAATGACCCTTTAATGACATGTACTCAGAGAATTATCTCACTTTAATCTTACAGTTCCACATATGTTTCTTCCATAATGAGATTTCAAGAACAGAGGTAGACTTTTTCCTTTAAGGAAAATGTCCTTGGATTTCTCTTTAGCAGAAGGCCTGGGAATATATTGGGCAGAGGACCACTTATGATGTTTTTGAAGTTTGTGCTGTGCTGTGACTCACTGGTGCATGGTTCTTGCACTGATCATAAATGTATAACCCAGGAATGACAGACTAAGTCAAAGAAGTAAGGGAATAGAGGCTTTTATGTTTAGTACTATAGATTCTAACAAAATACAATTTCAATTGATGTGGCCATTCAGTAGAAGCTGTAAACATGTAAATCCCGACTCATAAGGTTATACAACTGACCTCTGCTTAAGTCCGTGCATAATACTGAGAGAAATCAAATGCCAAATCTGCTAAAACAGTAACAATGGGTTATTTCAACTAATGAAATACTATACTAGCTGATCAAATATCACATTGGGCCATAGTTCAGAGGAGCAATTTCTTGACCTCATAAATGGTCGCTTCTGGAAACAGCTAGACACTCATGATAGCAATGGGAGGGATTCCCCCATTGTTGTAGTTAATCTATCACCCCGGTAGATAATAGCTAGGTTGATGGACTTAACACCATTGACTTAGCACTGTGTAAAGTGGGGGTTAGTTTGACATAGCTATGTATCTCAGGGTATGTCTACACTGCAATTAGACACCCGTGGCTGGCCTGTGCTAGCTGACTTGGGTTCCCAGGGCTCAGGCTGTGGGGCTGTTTAATTGCAGTGTAGATGTCCAGGCTCTAGGACCCTGCGAGGTGGGAGGGTCCCAGAGTTTAGGCTGGAGCTAGAACGTCTACACTGCAATTAAACAGCCCTGCGGTGGGGAACCCAAGTCAGCTGGCACTGGCCAGGCACGAGTGTTTAATTGCAGTGTAGACATACTCTTAAGGGGTTGATTTTTCACACCCCTGAAGACATAGCTATGCCGATGTAAGTTCCTGATGTAGACCAGTCCTAATACCTTCAGGGATTTTGTATTCTTATCCATGGTGTGAAATAAATTCAGCACCTAGTAGCCCAACTGTCCAGGGTAAAAAATACCAATTCTGTCACTCCTCTGTCTAAAAGAGTAAAACAGTTGGATGCTGTGCTTACTGCATTTATTTAACATTGATGGAGGTTAGGTGCATCAATAGCCAAGATGGTCAGAGAAGCAGCCGATGGCTCTGGGTGTCCCTAAACTTCCAGCTGCCAGAAGCTGAGACTGCATGACAGATTTCACGTGGGAGACCAGTGTTTCTCAAACTGGGGGTTCTAACCCAAAAGGGAGTTGCAGGGGGGTTGCAAGGTTATTTTAGGGGGGCTGCCCTTCTGTGCTGCCTTCAGAGCTGGATGGCTGGAGAGTGGTAGCTGGTGGACGGGCACCCAGCTCTGAAGGTGGCGCCCCGCCAGCAGTAGCACAGAAGTAAGGATGGCAATACCATACCATGGCATCCTTACTTCTGAGCTGCTGCTTTCAGAGCTGGGCGGCTAGAGAGTGATGGCTGCTGACTGAGGGCCCAGCTCTGTAGGCAGAGGCGCAGAAGTAAAGGTGGCGATACCATACCATGCCATCCTTCTGCGCTGCTGCTGGCAGTGGCTCTGCCTTCAGAGCTTGGCTCTTGGCCAGCAGCCGCCGCTCTCCAGCTGCCCAGCTCTGAAGGCAGCGCCGCTGCCAGCAGCAGTGCAGAAGGGTAGCAACCCGCCCCCCACAATAACCTTGTGACCCCCCCCAACTCCTTTTTGGGTCAAGACCCCTACAATTACAACACGGTGAAATTTCAGATTTAAATAGCTGAAATCATGAAATTTTTGATTTTTTTAAAAATCCTATGACTGTGAAATTGGCCAAAATGGACCCTGAATTTGGTAGGGCCCTATTTATAATGGTAACTGACTTCACTGCAATAAATTTGTTTATTAAATAAATCAGTGATTTCACAAATGCTGTTAATACTGAACAAGGAATAATTCAAGGGACAATTTAGATTTTAGTAAGTTTCTATATTAGTCCAAAAGTGTTTTATAGCAAAGGCATTTTGCCATTTTAAATGGCCACTGTATTTGTGAAAGTCATTTATAGAAACTTCTGTAAGTTCACTTTCAACTAAAGCAAAATATGTGAAATCTACAATAATTTACAACAAAGTGGGCATTAGTTGGCTAATGTACAAGAGAAAATATACAAAAACTATGTATAGGGGGTGTCTTTTTAGAAATGTACAATCAGCATGTTGTGTGTTTTTTAAAAATATGCAAATACTCCATGAATATTTGAATGCATTCTATAAATCCAAATAGAGTGTATTTTATGGATATTGATGTAATAACAGCTTCATATTTACCTGGCATATTTTCAGTGAATTTATATAACAATTGAATGTTGTCATTGATCTGACATGAGGTAGCATAAATCACAAGCTGTATTTCCTGCCAGGATGTGGTGCTGAACACAAATGTGGGGTCTAGAATTAATAATTTAATACAGTCTTCTGAAAAGGAAAGCAGCTAAAACAATGATCAGTGCTGAACTGAAGAATAATACTTTGAAGACTGTATGATTTTGTGGAAATTAGTTTTAAATTGGCTTTTCTGATTACTAAATATAGTATAAAAATAAGGAAATCAATGTGTTTAAGAAAGGAGGGATGTTAGTTGAGAGGCTGAACCATGAACACTGACTAGAAGATTAACTGTTATTTTCGGTAAATCACATTTGACAGCTGTGAAAGGCTGATGTAGCTCTCAAATGTAGTATTAGTTGTACTCCACAAACAGGGGCATAGATTGTTCATTTCCCTTATAGCACATTTTAGCCAATTAAAAACCTGTCTGGAGAATTAAATGTACATTATGGCTTAAGTTATAAGAGGGGAAACAGTACAGAACTATTTTTTCCCCCGGTTCATTGATTTGAAAGGATGAAGAACCTTCATTCAAGAAAACAAACAGAACACCAATTCACAGTGCTGCAGTGTAACAGTTAAATACCATATCTTAAGTTTTTCTTTAATTTGCACATGTGATGTCTCAATGAACCAAATGCTTGTGTTGAAACTAAGGTTTTTGTTCACCTTGGACAAACATGGAGAAATGTCTTTTAAAAAGGAGCCATTCTAGTGGTGGCTTAACAGGAAGATACTATGCCTATAACATGGAAAAACATAAATATTTAAGGAATTTGAGCTGTATTTATTATTTTGAGACTGTGGTAGCTTTATAAACTACTTCACCTTTGCTTTCTTCATCTGTGGCGTAACTGGGACTCCTTGAATGGAATTGTAGCTCTGCAGGTCAGAATTGCTCAAATATTTACTTTGGTTGTTTCATATATTTAACTCTTATATAGAACTGTTTGTGCTTGCCAGTGCCTGAGGACACTGAGCACAGTATCTCCTCCCTTCTCCCTACAGAAAAAACAGAGCAGATTTTTCTCCTCCTATCTTGGTAAATAACATTTTAGTTATTGGCTTGGCTGTACAATAGAACAGTAGCATCTGTTAGGCTGTCAGGAGAGTAATTTTTATACATTGTGGCTGAGCAATTTTTATACATTGTTGCTCCCCTAAGGTTTGTGTTGATGATGGGCAAATTCCTGTACAAAAATAAATCCTCCTTTCAAAACATGTGGAACATTACTCAGCCCCAAACTGCAGAAACAGAATAAAATTTCTATTGTCATCTAATACAGGGGTTCAACCTTTTTCTTTCTGAGCCCTTCCCCCCACTCCCCAACATGCTATAAAAACTCCACAACCCACCAGTGCCCCAACAGCTGTTTTTCTGCAAATAAAAGCCAGGGCCGGCATTAGAAGGCAGCAAGCAGGGCAGTTGCTTGGGGACCCACACCACAGGGGCCCCACAAAGCTATGTTTGTCAGGCTTCGGCTTCAGCGGCAGGTGGCAGAGCTCAGGGCCCCGGGCTTCAACCCTGCACAGCGTGGCTTTGGCTTTCTGCCCCTGAGCCCCAGCAAGTCTAACATTGGCCCTGCTTGGTAGACCCCCTGAAACCTGCTTGCGGCCCCCAGGCCCCTGGTTGAGAACTGCTGCTCTAATACTCCATTTACTTGAACTTAATTTCAAATTCAGCTCACAGCAAAAAAGGTCAGCCTTTTGCAGCAGCTTCAAACATGGCTGTAGTTGGAGGTTTGTCAGGAAGAAGACTCCTGCTGTGTCTGAGGTTGGCATGGCACAGAAGAGGCAGCAGAGGCCTGGAGGGGCCAAGCCCTTCCAGTCCTGATGTAAACTGTCATATTTCCATTGAAGTTGACAATTTGCAGCAGTGAAGGATCTGCCCCCTGATATTTTTGGGAGGTGGAAGTAATCCATGGTCTGCTTCCCTGTACCCCCACCACACACCTGCTTCTGGAGAAGAGTTGATACCTGCCTCTTTCCTCTATCTTGTAGTATCCATGGGAGAGGGACAAGAAAGTTACTACCATTGCCAGGCTTCAGTCTGTATATCTTGTTTTCCTTAGTATGGCTGCCACTGACCCATACTAGTGAAGACTGTTTATTTCATATGCACTTTAAGTTTGTGTGTAAGCTAAGATAAAGCAGTGATCTCTTTAATCCCCAGACTTATATTTGAATTGTGTTTCCTTAAGGGAATTCCAGTTCTGCTTTATCTTTTAAAAAGGTCCTGTGTGGAGGGAGGTTTATATAAAAGGAATAATGGATGTTATTGGGGACCTGAACTAGGGATTGGCTGTTGCCTTGTCCTGCTCTTGTGAATTAAAAGGTCAGATGTCTAAACTGAAATCTGTCCTTCTGGTTTTTTATGCAGCTGGTTAAATGACAAAAATAAGTGATTAGAGGAATTCAGTTTTTTACCAAGCATGCACCGCAACATTACATGACAGTCCAGGATTCCAATCTCAGCTATAATTTATAAAATTTCTTTAAAGCCAAAATACCAGAGTTTCCATTTAAAAAGTCTCTTTTCTTTCCCTGACAGGTTGGTTCAAAGCTAATCTCTTGCCACAAGTTGGTTCTGGCTTGTGTTATCCCTTACTTCAGAGCTATGTTTCTCTCTGAAATGGCTGAGGCAAAACAGACATTGATTGAGATCAGGGACTTTGATGGAGATGCAATAGAAGATTTGGTGAAGTTCGTCTATTCCTCCCGGCTTACCTTGACTGTCGATAATGTCCAGCCTCTCTTATATGCAGCCTGCATTCTTCAGGTGGAGCTAGTAGCAAAAGCTTGCTGTGAATATATGAAACTACACTTTCATCCCTCAAACTGCCTGGCAGTGAGGGCCTTTGCAGAAAGTCACAACCGTATTGACTTGATGGACATGGCTGACCGATATGCTTGTGAACATTTTACTGAAGTGGTGGAATGTGAGGACTTTGTGAGTATGTCGCCTCAGCACCTCCATAAACTCTTATCTTCCAGTGATCTGAACATAGAGAATGAGAAACAGGTTTATAGTGCTGCTATCAAGTGGCTTCTTGCTAATCCACAGCATCATACTTCCTGGTTGGATGAAATACTTGCTCAGGTAGGGAAAAGATTGGGGGGTATGCATAGATTGGAGCATATTTTCCTATAACATGCAGAGATGAAGCCATCCATTTTGTTTATAGTAGAAAATATATATAGTAGAAAAAAGAACAAGGAAAACAGACAAAAGATGCAAAGTATTTCTTTCCCTGTCAAAACTCATAATTGATGTAGTTTTGTGTTGGATAATCTTTTTCAATTTAATATTCAGCCTTTCCTAAGCAAGACATTTTCCCCGGGACAACAATCTGTCACAAATTTATGTTGTCTTCTGCTTAGAATAGAACCAATTCTGATCTGTCCTTGGCTATCAGAAAAGGAAATCACATTCTTTATCAATTTCTGAAAGGAAAAATTTTACCTTAATGATTGAACTTCATGCTAATCAGAAATAACAGAAAACAGTATCTGTTCTGGAAAGAGAAACCTTTAAAAATGCATACATAGTCAAATAGAGAACATACAGTCATCACTACTTAATGCATTTGGCAATACTAAATTTGGGTTGGGAGGGGAGAAGGGATGATTTCTTTGGTGATAAGTATTTGTCCTGACACAAAGCCGAGACAGTCAGAAGTTCTATTAAAACATTGTATGCTTCCTACATTTGGAGACAGGACTTGAAAAAACCTACCTACACTTAGTCAGAAATCAGTTTGCCTAATTAAATATGTCCCCATGATGCCCAAATTCACATCCTCCCACCGCAATGCATTTATCCTACCCTTACATCTCCACAGTCCAGTCTCTTCTGCTAGTTAGGCTAACAGTCTTGGATGTCCCCAGCTAATCTGGCACCAAAGATTTGGTCCATGCTTTGGCTAGTCTGTGTACTGCTATATTTCTAGTCCTTTCTGCTGCCTTGTCTGCTCTGCACTGCCTCTGGGGTCTCTGCCAATTAGCTCTCAACATCCTTTAACCTATACAGTCAGGCGAGATGTACATTAGAAAAGGTTTGCTAGTATTGCTAGCAAATTCTCCTTGTATAGAAAAATTTATACCAGTAAAAAAGTGCCATAGCTTATAGTGGTTCCCCAAATGAAGTAAGCTATACTAGCAAAAGCACTCTTATGCTGGTGTAAATGTCAACATTAGGGCTTTTGATGGCTTAGAAGTGTTGTAAAAACCCCTCATCCTTATTTGACAATGGTAGATCAGCAGAAGTATAGACCTGGCCTCAGTCACCTGGAGAAAGAAGGAAAGTATGCAGCAGTATTTGTGGCACTACCTGGTGTAACTATTATTATATTGCAAGCAGTTACGGTGCGACTTAGCCCATTCACCCTGGAGTGAGCAATGGATTTCCTAAGCCCTGCCTAGAAGCAAACTACTTTTTTATATAAAGAATTTAGTCAAGTGAGGGTACATCTACACTTGCAGCAGCACATAGAGTGGAGACATTGCATGCCCAGCTAGCATGCGTATAAATACTAAACCTGTGAGGTATAGCTTATGTGACTAGAGTGCCCTTCACACCTGAACCCTCAGGTATATACCCTACAGGGCTCTCTGTGTGCCCAAGCAGTACCTCTCATATTTACACTGGTATTTTTAGGGTAGTATCCTGCTGCCTCCCCCCTGCCAGGGCCTTTCTGTGCTGCTGGAGTCTTTGGGTGTATCTACATTGCAGAAAATAAAACCCTGCAGCAGCAAGTCTGAGCCTGGGTCAGCTGACTCAGGTTCATGCAACGGGGCTAAAAATAGCACTGTAGACAGTCAAGCTCAGGCTGGAGCCCGGGAGCCAAGATCCTCCTCCCTCGCTGGGTTTCAGAGTCCGGGCTCCATCCTGAGCCCAAATGTTTATACTCCTATTTTTAGCCCCGTAGCATGAGCCCAAGTCAGTTGACGCAAGCTCTGAGACTTGCTGTTGCAGGTCTTTTTGCAGCGTAGACATACCCTTTCATTGCAGCGGGGAAAGGCTTCAGCAGCTTCCTTTGCTGTGCGTAACTACAAACCACGAGTGTGGACGCAGCCTGCTTTTCACGGCTGCATATAGCTACATGTACCCGGCAGGTGTAAACAAGGTCTGAAAGAAGTGTTCCTTTGTTCTCCCCAGAAAGAATAAAGTTATATTTGAATGGACTTTTATTACTCCTTTCACTAACGTGTGTTTTTTTTTAACTTAAAAGTTACACAACTATACTCCTGACTGCCGTATTAGTCATTGGATCTAGGGCTCAACATCAGAGTAGCTGAACTGTGTATATTCCCATCAGGTACGTCTGCCTTTGTTGCCCATTTGTTTCCTTATGGGCGTTGTGGCAAAAGAAGAGATCATCAAGCAGAATCTAAAATGTAGAGATTTACTGGATGAAGCAAGAAACTACCACCTTCACCTGAGCAGCAGGGCAGTGCCAGACTTTGAGTATTCCATCCGCACAACACCAAGGAATGAGACTGCTGGTAATTAAATGGGGATCTGATTTTCCTGTGCTGAGGAAGAGTGTTGGGGATCTGTGTAGGGAGAGGTAGTGCAGAGTAAATTGTTTGATCTAATTAATGTTTCAAGAAGAAGTATATAGGTGCAGTGCATAGCTTTTAGCACCAATTTTACTTAAATTAGCTTAAAATACTAGTTTAACTAGATCAAATATAAATATTCAAGGCAAGGCTTGCAGAAAGTATATTAATGTGCTAGGAACTGTACAGGAAACCAAAGATACTCAAGCCCTATAAAGTTTACTTCCTGGGGGAGAAAAACATATTGCTCCTTTTGAACAATTAATTGACCCCAAAGCAGTGAGTTGCCTTTTACAAAGTGCTCTGAGTTATGCAGATTAGGCTGCAAATTCTGATATAGAAATCCAATTAGATGTAATAGAAGAAATATGGTTATCCCCCCAGTCAAATAATAACTAAAGTCCCATTGTTTTTGGAGACTGTGATTAGCAGTCTGTGCAATAACATTGACAGTCACATTTTGCATGCTAAAATTGCATGGTTCTTGCCAGATGAAAGGTGAGGTCATTGCCACAAATGCAGAAGTGTAGCTGTATTGAATGTGACCCAAGAAGGAGGAGAAAAAAGTGCTTGTCTTCAGTTAATTTTGTAATGCTAATCCATTCTCAGTAAAAATATTGCCCATGTTTTGTTGGCTGATCATTCGGAGACCAATATTTACTCTTTATATCTTCTCCTTTAGGTGTGCTATTTTGTGTCGGTGGTCGAGGTGGATCAGGTGACCCATTTCGCAGCATTGAATGCTACTCTATAAACAAAAACAACTGGTTCTTCGGTCCTGAAATGAACAGCAGGAGAAGACATGTGGGTGTAATCTCTGTGGGAGGTTAGTAACAACATAACCTTGTATTAATGTCATTTTTTTTCTTTTGCAGTAACTTAATTGTTTAGTTATTTTACCCACCATACTAAACAATAAGAAAAGCCTGTCCCATATCATAGCTAAATTACTTGATGTGTTTCAGTTTACTAAAGAGCTATTTTTCAGGTCTGAAAACATTCCTGTGGTGTTATAGCACCAATCTGAGAACACATTTGTTGAAGTGAGACCACTGCTCACTGTCCACAGCCTGTGGCTCATTACTTATAGTAGTGTATGGTTTCATTTTTCTTTTTTCTCAGAGAAGCACATAACTGCAAGCCAGTTTTCCTGAGTTCTGAAACTGACTTCCTTGCATTTGGGCAAATCAAGTAGCCCATAATTTTCCAAGACTGCCATTAGTTTTGGTAACTCAAGAGTGCTCAACTTGATACTTAGAGCCAAGTTTCCAGAGCTGCTGAGAACCCACAACTGTTGAATTCCTCTTCCCGCCCCATATGTTACGTTCCTGCAACAGAACCAATGGAAAACAGTTTTTCAGATAGCATACATTCCTTTGTGCCTCCAAATATTAAACAGCACCTCTACCCCAATATAACACTGTTCTCAGGAGCCAGAAAATCTTAACGCGTTATAGGTGAAACTGCGTTATATCGAACTTGCTTTGATCCGCCGGAATGTGCAGCCCCGCCCCACCGTGTTATATCTGAATTCGTGTTATATCGGGTCGCGTTATATCGGGGTAGACGTGTACTTTGTTTAAAGTAGTTTGGTATTTTGTCTAGAGGCTGAAAAATTCAGCCAGCTTGTGGAATGTTGTTTTTAATATGAAAAGGGAAGACCTCAGATTAAGATGTTAAAATGTCCTATAAAAACAGCTGTTAATGCAAATCTCTGACTTAGTCTGTGTATATTCTTATGACAGATTCTTAACCTTCAAATCTTATTCTTGCAATTGAAAAGCGTGCTGCTATTTTGGAAATAGGGTTGTGCCTGTATATTTCCCACTGTTTGTGGTAATCTTGTGTATCTGGACACCAAAGTGTTGCCTACCAACTATTCAATCAAAATGTTTCTCTTTTCTTCAGGTAAAGTCTATGCAGTAGGTGGGCATGATGGAAATGAACATTTAGGCAGCATGGAAATGTTTGATCCTGTCACTAATAAGTGGATGATGAAAGCATCAATGAACACCAAGAGGTAAATCTCCCTTAAACAAAAAGGGAGCAAATAATTATTTTAGAAAATAATCCAGAAGTTATTGCGGTCTAGGTTTTTATCCGCCCCTTTGTGCATACCATTTAAAAAAAAAAATTCTTAGGGTTGAAATAGTCAGTCTCAGCTCAGTTGGGGGACTCAGTTCTTAGGTTGTTCTGGGTTTACGAATGCAAGCTGGTTGCTCTTGCGGTCAGCTGCTGCCTATTTTCTTTTGCTTGGGGGTGGGTTTGAAATTGACAAAAATCTTGTTTGAGATTATTGCCAATTTGTATCTTTTGCTAGCTATAGAAAAGATACATCCTTGATCATTACTTAATCAATACAGAATGTGTATGTATGTCCTATATAACAGTATACCAAGATTTCAATGCAGGGTTGTGTTGTGGAGTATTCATAATGCTATTTGCCCCCCAACTCTCCAAAAAATCATTAACACTTATTTGTATATTCCTACTGGAATAGTGTAATACTTTAAAGTGCAGATAGGCAAAAATAAAGTGTGCCTTAGTGTGTAATGAAATGAATCTCATATGCACATTAGAGCATTACTGGCGATGTAAAATGTATAATGTTCCTTTATGTCAGCCTCCAAGTACTGTATTGTTTGTAAACTTAATAAAAAGCAGATTGAATTTCCCTAATTACTTAGTAGTTGTAACATTGGATCAAAGGAAATATCAGACATACTACCCAAAAAGCAGATTGCAAATAAACTGCGCATAAAGATAAAATATTTAGTAATTTTTTTCAGATAAACCTCTCCCTGATAGTTGTGACTAGCTTACTTTCACTTCCTCAGCATACTTCTTTTGGTTTTCTGAGTTAACTGTGGATAAAAATAACTAAATGTTCTGGTGTAGGAGTCTGACTAAGAGTGCATATTGCTTTTTGAGAGAGCCATGCAGAAGCCACAAGCTTAATTAGATATAAAACTGCTATTTTACACTTATTTCGGTGATGATTTTTTAAACTGCTTTAACTGAGGTTTCTGTTTTTCTTCTTACTGTATCTCTCTATTAAAAACCACCACCCATATTTTTACTTTAAACCTCCATAACCTGTTGCAGTCTAAAGAAAATATTTTTCTAAAAAAAAATTTGACTTCTATAAGAACCTCGCACTTAATGGGTGGAGTGAAGTACTGGGGCATGTCTGAGTCCTGAAACATTCAGCTACTGTGACTTAACCAGTAAAGCACAAAGCCACTTCGAAAGAACCAAGAAGCTGGGTCATCAACTTGCTTCTCTGATAGGTAACAGAAAATACTGTTAAGGCTCAGATAAGCTTTTGTGGCACCTCCTGTGAAGCACAGTGGTTACTGTACTGTGTCTTAGCCTCTGTGCTGCAACCTGGAGAAGCAGTTGCAAGATCACAGGACCTTCCTTTGTGGGGGGAAAAATAATCATTTTCTTCTGTCTTGAGGTACTATCAGTTCCAGTGGTATTTCTCATTTTAATATAGGGAATCTCTCAAACCAGGAGAATCTTTCAAAATGCAAGAAGTACTGGTCTAAAATAATCCTGTTAGCTAACCAATCAATTTTTGTATTACTGACTATCCACATAGTGAAGAACTGTTGCCGGTCAGTTGGATTGTCTACTATACTAAGTTCCTCTATATTTACTATAGGAAATCCCTAGAATAGTGCAAATACTTGCACTATAAATTTTTTTAAAATTTGTATATTGCCTCTTCAGGGAAGGGACTGTCTTCCTGTGTTGTGTACACAGTGTCTAGTGTATTGTGGGTGCTACTGTATACAAATAAGTATAAAGACAAAGTTTCATTATCCAAGATATTATCCTAACAGGTAAGTTTAAGGGTAACCACTGTCTACCATCTCTTTAGCCAATTTAAGATCAATTACTTTGTGCATAACTTTAATCTGTATACGTCAAGAACTCTCACCTAGACTTTAGATCAGTGCTAAGGTTGATCACATTTAACTTACATACTTATCTGTCCTCTTTAGCCACTTACTAAAAAAAAGTGACAGTCAAATTCTGTGAGTGGTTTGATTAGTTTCATCCACCTCTCCAAAGAATGGATCAGGTTCTCTGTTCCACTCAGTGCAGCAGAGAAAGGGGGTTGGCAGGGAACCAGTTAATATCCCGATTCTCAGCACTGGTCCAGATGGAGGCATCCTGGCTTCTCTTACTAGCACCTGCTGGGGAGCTACAGCAGTCTCTGCTTCCAGGGAGTAAAACAGGAGAGTGTCTGACTCTAAATATTTTTTTAGTCACTTTTTACCTCACAATTGAACAAAAAAATCTCCATTTCCCCATAAGTGGCAGTGCATGGATGTTTATTTGTAACTAGAAATTCCAAATCTGCTTTCTGTACTCATGTGTGGCAACAATTTTGAATTTTAAAGCAAGATGGTGGTTTTAAATAGATCAGTTAGCTTTCATAGGTAACTGTTCTACATGTGAAAATGTAGCTGTCAGACTAATCATGATTTAAAAGCCAAGGACAGAAACTGTAATTCAAGAACTAACCTTTTTGGATTTGATCTACTTCATAAGAAAGTAACTGAAAAAAGTGAGGCATAGTGCTGAAGCACTCTACAGCTACACCACAGCAACAGCTAACCTATGATTCATGCAGTTATATACTTACTGGTAGCACAAACTCTTCTGTTCATAGAATCCCATTGCCTTTTTTTAAACAGTACATTTGCTTTACATTGCAGGGGATTAAATCCTAAATATTGCCTTAGTTCCAACATAGGTTTTTGGATTGTGTGAGTAGATTGTAGCTGAAAAGGTAGCTGCCTGCCATAAAGTAAGATCAGCTAGCTTTTCTAGTTAAAATAACACTAACTTACTTGTAGTGGGACTCTGGATGAGGGCAGGGCTCTGTTCTAGGTGATCCTGAGGCAGGTTCGGTACCTTAGGGTAGGTACCCCCTCTGAAAGTGAACGAGTCTACTTATGAAGCTGCTATTGCACCGACAGTCAACTTGCTACAGTTATTGATCAAAGAACTTTAAGTTCCTTCATTTCCCTTTTGGTTTGCATTACGCTTATTTCCCATATTTTGAAACAGTTGCCAGTCAGAGAAAATTGCACTTGGTCTGTCTTTGCCTAGTACCTTCAAGGATATACTCAAGTGCTAATGCTTTGATTTTATTAGGAGAGGAATTGCTCTAGCCTCCGTTGGTGGACCCATTTATGCCATAGGAGGGTTAGATGACAACACTTGCTTCAGTGATGTGGAGAGATATGACATTGAATCTGATCGATGGAGTGGAGTAGCGTCAATGAATACTCCCAGAGGAGGAGTGGGCTCAGTGGCCCTTGTGGTAAGTTAATGCTTCCTTCTAAGTCAGTATTGAAACAATGCCTTGGCTTGGCACGAGGAGGCACTGTACTAGTGCAGGGGACTCTTTCAAATAAGACTTAAAATTGAGGCACTGGCCACTTATAATATTCAAATAAGTACTGTACTGATCCTGTGATCAGTAGATTGGCACTCCCACAACAACCCTTCAATTATGGCCAAAACATAACATATGTAACAGAAAAGACAAGGTTATGGATATCATTTTAAGAGTCAGATTTGTCATGGCTGCTGTGTTAAACATATTGTGCCAGATTCACCACTCACTCCCATCTTTGTTGCATAATGGATGGAATAGTCTACCAAATAGGATTTCTTCACTCACTCGGCCGCAGGTAGCATTTTACACCAACATAAATGACTACACAACGTGCAAAGCATTGGAAAAAGCAGGTCCACTACAATTTTGTAACCGTTCCAAAGCACTTCACACTTATATAAATACTGAAATAATTTCACTTACCAGTGAAATTTAGCCTGCAATATGGCATCTTTATTAACAGTACATAGCAACAGTTGAAGACAGGAAATAAATACTACTTCCAGTTAAGAAAGCAGATGGATTTAGGTAGGCAAAATGTAACACTAAATAAATGATACAATGTGACACTTGGTAGTAGTGCTAAAATGTAACTTTTTTTCCTACTGTTTTCAAAGTCCATGTATTACTGCAGATATCCCTCATATTCAAATGTTTGTTTTAAAAAAAAAAAAAATGCTAAATCAGTCACTGTTTGCCCATGGGGGAAAATAAATCTCTTCCAGGGGGTTGTTTACAGAAAAATAGCAGAGAGGTAAATTTACTGGGCTGTATTTTTAACTTCTTGGTCATGACTGTAATACAAGCATTCTGTATGGTACAAATATGTGATCCTTGGGATGGACAGCCATTCTAGGATCAGTGTATATTCCTAAACAATCACTGCTCATTTGGGGGGGGAAAAAAAAAATCACCGAGAAGGAGCTGGGTGATGCAGTGTGATGTTGAATTTTACTACAAAAGTACTATTGACTTTTCATATGAAAGGCTAGCTCTATGCATGAAATGTCTCTGCTCAATCTTCTTTCAGAACTATGTGTATGCTGTTGGTGGCAATGATGGTGTAGCCTCTCTCTCCAGTGTAGAGAGATATGACCCCCATCTGGATAAGTGGATAGAAGTGAAAGAGATGGGTCAACGAAGAGCAGGCAATGGGGTTAGTGAACTCCATGGTTGCTTATACGTTGTAGGTGAGTAGGAGTGTTTCTTCCTAACTGATAGAAGAGACACTTTGTCCTATAAAAATATGGATTGTGCCTGAGAATGAAGAAGTTTCAACATAAAAAATGCTGTTATAATGTATAAAAAGTTAAAAATCTAAGTATTTTATAAACTTTTAAGCACCTTCCAGGAGAAGTAAAAAAAAAAGATACTCATGCATCTTGGTAGACCAAAAAATTGACCTGCTTTGTCCTGATTCTGGCTCCATCTCTAATCCCTTGCCTTAAAATCAGGTCAGCAGAGGCTGGAATGCTATTGCTATAAATGAGATTCTTTTGGCTGCTGGCAAGATACCCTCTCCAAGGGCTGGCAGCTTTCGGGTGAAAGTCTCAATCTTTTGTCAGTCAGAGCATACTGCAATGCTTATTCCTCTCCACCAGCATTTATAAATAGGCAGGGGTGGGGGAAAGTGTCAGGATGGAGAATTGAAGTGGAAGTGTGATATGAATAAGTTCCATGGGGGTTAGATTTATTCTACTGCAATTAAGGTATGTGTGATTTATTTAGTTGGATCTGGGGCAGCTGGAGTCTGAGACTAGGTGGCCTTTGAGCATTAAACAAATCTAAATTGTCCTATTTAATTTTTTCAGTTCAGACACACAATGTTTATCCAGTGCTCTAAGCCCTTTGACAATTCATTAAAGCTAGTCAGTGCTTCCCAGTGGTAGAGATGAAATGTGCAATTTTCTGTGCATTTCACAATATACCATGCGCAGTTACAGAATGTGTGCTCACTGGGTTTCCTGGAAATTTAAAAGTGAAGCTTTCATTTAAGACTGTGGTGTGATCTTAATACCAGATTCATTGCAGTGATTTTTACATCTACTCTTCAGAAAATATAGAAGTAGATCATAGTATAATTTCCCCTTTAAAAATAGACCCTGAGACGTGTGTACATATCACACACCTTTTCATTTGTTCACTGTGTGCCTGAGTTCAATAGTTTCTTTAGATTTATAGACTTTTTATAACTTTTCTTTACCGTTTCACAAACTATACTTAATTTGTTTAATTGTGCAGACATACCATAGAATTGCAATATGAATCACGGAATCACCAACTAAATGAAATTTTACATAATCTTAACTGGCTCTAGTTTTAATCTTTAACTTTGTCAGTGAGATTTTAAAAATGACCTTGCTAACATTCTTAATATAGCCTTCTCTTTAAAACGTAGGATTCCCCCCCGCCTCTTTTTTTTTGAAAGCCACACCTTTGTAGTGTTTACTATTTAGAAGCTAGGTAGGAAGATGGTAGAAAAGGGTATGTAGTGTAGTTTTAAAGTTGCAGGAGCACTTATAGAAGCAATACAACTATGGAAGAAACCCAGCTGAGTAATTCAGTACTGATGTTCAGACATGCATATGGGGTACAGCTTCATGACTGCTTTCAGTTAGTTGACAATATGCTATCATCTACATGGATCTAAAGCAGATTGCAGCACTTACTGAATATTTTTTTTCTGGCATGTTATGAAATGTTGACTAGCTTGAATAGCCTGCAAAAAAAAAAAGACAGCCAGAACATTCCTTAAGTAGAAAGAACAGGCATGACTACAAGACTGTATGCATGTAAATGTACAGTTGGAGAAACCAAAACATCCAGAAGGCTCAGTAAGGGTACGTCTTCACTACCCGCCGGATCGGCAGGTAGTAATCGATCTATCGCGTCTCGTCTAGACGCCATAAATCGATCCCCAGACGCACTCCCCGTCGACTCTGGAACTCCACCAGAGCGAGAGGCGGTAGCGGAGTCGACGGGGGAGTCACGGCCATTGATCCCGCGCCGTGAGGACCCGAGATAAATCGATCTAAGATACTTCGACTTCAGCTACGCTACTCACGTAGCTGAAGTGGCATATCTTAGATCGCTTCCCCCCCCCCCCCAGTGTAGACCAGCCCTAAGTCTTTATGGTATGGATGAACCAAAATAACATGGTGAAATTTGCAGTGCATAGAGATGAGTCTCTGGCCTTAATGAATCCTTTAAGAGAATCTCTGGGTAATTACAGCAGGTGCTGTTGGGATTCCCTTGTGATTTAGTTTCATTGCATATTGACATTTAACTCTTCAGGTTTTCCATTTGATTATTAAGTACTTACATGTATTAAGTATTTTAATGCACTCTTCTGTGAGTGGGTGCACTCTTTTCTTCCTTTGTCTCTAGAAAAGCCAGTGTGCTTGTTCACTGCTTGCTCATTTTCATTGTACATATTGGTATTCTTTATAGAATAGGAAATATTCTCATCAAGAGTAAGTCTAGCCCCATTTTATTCTGAGAATTACTATATGCATGTGCTGAGGAAACAAGCACAAGGACTCTCAACAATCTTTGGGGAGAAGTTAAAAACAGCAAGAGGTGGTCTTATGATCACTAATGTAAGGGCCTAAAATTAAAGCACCTGCCAATTCCTTGTACACCTCTGAAAACTTAAGCCACACACTGCTACCTAAATATTGATTTTAGTACTTAACGTCAGGTGGCCATTGTACAGCCAACCAATTAAATATTATGCCATCTGAATACTGGACTCCAGCATTACTAAAATCTCCCTACTAACAAACAGTAATTTAATGTCTTTCTTTGTAGGTGGCTTTGATGACAACTCTCCATTGAGCTCTGTTGAAAGGTTTGATCCTCGCAATAACAAGTGGGAGTATGTAGCAGAACTTACAACCCCCAGGGGTGGAGTTGGCATAGCAACGCTAATGGGTAAAATTTTTGCAGTTGGTGGTCATAATGGCAATGCATACCTGAACACAGTGGAAGCCTTTGATCCAGTGATGAACAGGTAATTCTGAGTTAGATGAAGACAGGTGATGATGGCTTCATGTATACAGTATAGAATCACTGTGGCCCTTAAACTATGAAAGTTATTTGAGTAATTTTTCCTCCATTATCTAAATATGCTACTCCAGATAGTGGGTAGCAAGAAATAATGCAGGTTTTTTATATCTTGTAAAGTAAACTATCATGATTGAGCACATAAGTTAATTTCCTGTCCTCAACAGGTAACTGAACAATTTTACTCTGTGACAACTGAAGGGTATTTAATGCAAATGCTAGACGTGTCAAATTACCTGAAAGTGTATTTTTAAAAGTGCTGTCTTGTATGGACTAAGTTCATACATCCAACAAAAAATACTTAATCTAGTTACATTAATGGGTATAAAGAATTCGGTTTTCTCTAGGAACGAAGTTCAAATCTAGATTGAGGTTCTAATTATAATGTATTTAGTGATTTCAGATTATGGTCTCCTTTCGAATAGAGACTAATCTCGAACACCACAAATTGGTACTTTAGGCCCAGCCTTCAGTCTCTCCCATGGTGTTAGCAGTTGTGGGTTAAGCCATATGTCATTGAAAAGGTAACTCTTTTGCAACCTTTCATTAGTCTGATTTGACCAATGACCTTAGTGATCACAGTTAGACAAAACTGTTACTTCAAAAAAGTTTGACATGGTTTTATGAAAATTTATGGACATGGATGGCTCTGATCTTCATGGAGGCTGCCATCTTCCATATAAACAGATGGAATTCTTTATCACCTTGAATAAGTAGGAAGGGCACTACTTAACTGCTCTTGTTTTTTGGGGGTAAATTTAAGAGTACATACTTAATTTTTCTTGATATGAAGATGAAGACACATATTAATGTGCTCCCCCTATACCGTTGGCTTTTTTTTCTCACTTACAAGTTCATACCTCCCATCTCCTCACTGAGGCAAAGGAAGCTTCTCTACTCAGAGTACTATAAATAAGATCATTAGTGTAAGGCAAAATTGGATTAATCCAATCAATTTATTAGCCTAGTTTCATTACTTCTCCCTGCCTGAGACACTTTATTTTCAATAAGGAGCTAACACCTAACTCTCTCTGGCCTCAAAATGTGGTTGGGTGCAGAAAAGAGGGAAATAATTTATAAGTACAACAGTTCAAGAGTAAGGTGGATGCAATTCTTCAAATTTAAGTAAGTTATGAGTAAATGTAGATTTGTTTTAAATTAAGTAGTGAAACATTCAAATTAATGCTTTCCCCTTAGATTGATACAATGGAGGCATCATCTCTCCTAGAGAGAATTTACCAACTTTAAGATATGGGGGGGTAGAGTGAACTTTTCAAGGGAAAAAAACTAACTTATCCCCCCCTGGTCTTTCTTGCATTACCATTCTCTCTAGGTGGGAGCTTGTTGAATCAGTTTCTCACTGCAGAGCTGGAGCGGGAGTAGCTGTGTGCTCTTGTCTTAGTAGTGAGATCCGGGATGTTGGTCAGGGATCCAACAATGTGGCTGATTGTATGTGAACTCAGAGTCAAGCCTCGAGCAACTCTTCAGAAGATCCTGATAAGACTCGAGGATGGAGGGACATGACCACAACAGCGTTGCTCTGGGGTTTTTAATTATTATCCTATGCCGTAGATAAATACTGAATGACTCTTATGTGTGATAACTATCAAAAGCTGAGTTCTAATATTCAAGTTTTCTGAAGCTTATCTGATTTAGAAAAGTCTGGGTAAACATAAAATAAGGACCCTGGTTTTTATTTCAAAGCAGATATCGCCGTAACTTTCTATTTGAGGGGCATTATTCTGGAGCATTCATAATTAAATAAAATATATATAGGCTGTGGTTAAAGAGTTGCACTTTGAATTGTTGAGCCTTAAACTACTTCCCTCCCACCCACCCCCCAAAAAAACTTTGATTCTGGGATACATGCTAGAGTATGTTTTTAATATGTACATTCTGATAAAATACAAGAGAGCCTTAAAAAAAGCCCAGTTCTATAGCACTTTAGACAGGAATAAAGCATTTCAGCCTTTTGGAGGTTAATTTCCCTGTTGTATACCTGAGGAAACTCAGGTATAGAGGTTCATTACCTGACTGTCAGGGGGCTGAAAAGCAGGTGCTGAGCATCTCTGAAAATCAAATTAGTTTCTCTTGTTACAGAGCTGAGAATAAAATCCAGAGATCTGGCCTGCTTATGTGGGATTCAGCCACTGGAACATGTTTCCTCTCTTATGCCTCCAAGGAAACGTATATTAAGAACCACCTGCAATAGGAAACTCCTTAAGAGTGAAAGCACGTGTGAGGCTTCCTGTATAATTGTCTTATTTTAATAGAAATGGTTTATTTAGACAGGCAGAGTTTACTGGTCCTTTATTACAAATTACTGTATTCCTAGAAACAGGAATGCACAATGGGGAAGAAGTTACAATATCAAATAAAACCCACCCTTTTTCTAAGTAATTTTCAGTGGCTTACATGTTCAGTTTTAGTAATCCAGTGACATGGTGTGAGGTTAGCACCACTTTCAAAAAAAAGTACAGATGTGATGGTTTCAGACACAAACAGGCTTAATTATCTTGTGGATATTCTAGGCTGAGACCCAGAATGAAACATCTTCAAATGAAGAATTGCAGCTGTTGGAGTCTAAAGTCTCTTTAAACAAAAGGAAGTTAGTAGCAGCACAAATGAGATACATCAAGGGATTAACAGTCTTTCCTGTTTGTCAGATGCAGTGATAAATTCAAATTCAAAAATAGACCTAAACTGTGCTGTCATTACAGCCTATTGCCCCACTGAAATACCAGGAACCTATATTTAAGCCCTTAATTAGCTGTATTTAGTGTATAATTGTATATAAATATTTATTTAAAATTTGTTTGTAACTTTAAATGTGTTTGGGAACCTCTTTCAGGCTTTTCAAGGTTATTACCTCAACCATTATTTATAACATGGTTCCTGTTGGTAAAACTGAGACGTTCATAGGAACCTTTTACATCTTGTGTAGGGGCTTGCCTTTGTCTCAGTAGCATGAAGTGGTACGCTCCTATTCAAACTGTCTTCATTTTGTTGACTGATTTGCAGTTAAGGTTTAAACAGCCTTTAAATTCAACTTTATTTTTATTATGTATTTTTGGTAAGTCTGACCTTTTGATTTAACTTGACAGGACAGAATTGTTAAAACTTGAATTGCCTCAGTCTTAATGTTTAACAATTTTAAAGAGTGTTCTTCCCTTGGGAGTTAACCTAGCTTCATTTTGGTGTGTAGCTTAATCTATTGGAATTGTATTTTTGATTATCCAGTGCTGACCATGTAGTGGCCACCTCAAACATTCATCACTTATTTCCTCTTGGTTGATATTCTACATCAAATTAAAATACTGATGAGGGAGGTATAGGGATACTCTTAGAATTTCTTAGAGGGCAAGATAACCTCAGTTGACTTGGCAGAAAACCAAACCAGCAGTGAAGGGAAGAAATGAAAAAAAAAAAATACAACGCTGCATTGTAGAAAGACAATTTTGATATACGTGTGGAGAGCCTAAAATTCAAGAGCAGCTTCAGCAAAAGAGAAAAGGTTTTCACAATCCTGAATTTTCTTGACAAGATCAACAGTTAATTTAGGAAAACTGTACAGTGTTAGACATTGAAACACCTATAGAGACTATGACAGGGGGGTGGGGTTGGAGCAAAGTATGGGAATGAAAATCCTATATTTCTTAAAGAAATATTTATGTGGGTTATTCTGTATATTCAATACCATACTAGGGAGGCTTCAGCTTTATCAGCGATCCCAAAGCACATAAATCACTGCTTTAGTATTGCACTGCCATGTTTTAAAACTGTTTTGTATTTCCAATTGATTGTAGTCTGGATATTCAGTGGACAAAATGCAGAATGGACTGGTGTAATTACACTGAAATATATGGAGGTTGCAATAAAATATTTGTACTTTAAGCTGTTACTCTATTTCAGTGGTTCCCAAACTTCAACAACCTGTGAACCCCTTTCACTAAAATGTCAAGTCTCGCGAACCCCTCCTAAAAATGAATATTTCCAGGGATTTTCTCCTTTATCTGAGTATAAATTATAAAAGCAGTGATCTGGGAAATATAAAATTTGTTTTTATGACATGCATATTACACACTATTTATTATTTATCATTACAGTATTTTTATTACATTATGAAAATGGCGACACTCTTCCAAGATCTCACTTTCGTAGCTTGTATCACTTTGAATAAGCCTGTTATAAGACAAGGCTCCTTTGTTTCATCAAGGAGTATCAGATGTGAAATGTCATGACAGTATTTAAGAAGCCAACTCAAACAATGCACATTACAACAAAGCTTAAACTTGTTCTTCATAATAATTAAAAAAAAAAAAAACAATACTAGCTGCCTATTTAATTTTAAAAACAGCAAAAAGTATCCACCTCCCGTTCCATTTCTTATAAGGAGTCTTGAAGTTTAAATCTCCTCAGTGTGATAGATCTGCTTGCTTTGATCTGCTTAGCTCGTGGAAGTCCAGTGGCTCCGGGCTGCTGGCCCCATGCTGCCCGGGGTCCCTAGGGACAGCTCTGTCCACCATTAGGGAATTTTTTTCCAAGAACCACCTGTAACATTTCACGAACCCCAGTTTGGGAACCACTGCTCTATTTAATTCCTAGCATAACTGGAACTCCCCCTAGGGATAGATATTAACAGCTGCAAGTATTTATTGGGTTGTTTAGAGCCTTTTTTCCCCCTTCTAGAGCCTGCATCTTTGGGGCCACACCCTTTCTGGCTAAGGAGAGCTGAATGGAGTGCAGCCTGCAGCACCCCTAAACAATTAGGTATCTGTACAACATGAAGTAGTGTTCTTTGCACCAAAGGTGACATCACAGCATGGCGATTGAGGCCTGGAGAGGAAGGGTGGCTTTATAGGTCACAGGTGTCAATGACAGCCCTGGGGGCCTGTCCACATCACAGCAGCCTCCAAAGCCTAGCGTATGGGTTGCAGCACTACCACTGTGGTGTACAAACCCTAGCATGGAGGTAGCTTTATAGCTGTCATCTGCAGTGTCTGCCTTCCCCTACCCCACAGCCAAACCAGGGCTTTTAGAAATCCATTACATCAATTCAGCCTCTTACTTGGTGTCAGGAGCTGGAGTACCCTGAAATGCTGTCCAGAGAGAGCTTCCTGCAGCACAGTGCAGCCACTTTGCTACCAGTTCAACCAGCATTGGTGCTTTTCAATTTACATCCAACTCTTAGTTTCTGGCTTTTAATAAGCATTAAAACAGGCAGCTATTGGTACTGTTAGCAGCCCTTACTTATTTGCAGCTTCACTATTATCTAAATATACAGATGTCTTTCCATTTTAAATGCATATTTGATTCTGGTTGCTGAAAGGAAGCAGGAAAATAAAGGCAGCTTTTAGTGGAAATAGAAGAAGATTCCACAAAATGATACAGGAACACATTTCTTACCTATTATTGCACTGACTGGGGAAGGTTCAATTAAAAAGTCAAATGTGGCTGAATTTAAAGAATAATAAAACAGTTAATTGACAACTAAATCTGTTGGTTTCATAAGAGAACCCTTCATTCCTTATTCTAGCTCTTCCATACTTGATTAAGGAAGACATTTGCGGCATTTCTACTTAATCTACCAGAGGTGAGGATAGCAGAAAACTCAAAACTAAACAGAGCTGAATTAGTCTGGAGCAAGAGATTCTCTCTTCCTGCCCCCAAGCTTTTAAAACAAAATTATTTCTATATAGTGATCAGCTGCAGGTTAAATTAATTCTGGATGTTTCGTATGGAGTGTCCCTTCCTTTTTAATTCTAACCAAGTCTCATTTCATAATGGTGAGTGAACAACCACATCACTGCAGGGAGAAGCATTACAGATTCCTTTAAAGAAAACTACTGCTGTGTATATCCCCATTGGGCGCTTACATTTCAAAGTGAGGCAGACTTGTTAAGGTAGGTGTCTTAGGCCTAGGATATTACACATGTGAATGGTGGGGGGGTTTGGTGACATTTTTATTCCAGCACAAGGCAGTGTAGCTGCAGTGATACCAGCAAAAAAAGCGTTTTTGGTAGTATAGCCTCTTTTGTTGGGGGAACTGATGGAAATTATACTTGCAAAAAGTACGTCTACAGTAGAAAGATATGCCAGTGTAGCTACAGTGGCAAACTTTTTCTAGTGCAGGCCTGGCCTTAAAAATATAGCAGTTGAAAATGTGATCATGAAGTAATTGCCCTTTTTATAATTGGGGGGGGAGGGGGGACTAATATTTACCTGGGCCAATGAATGTGTGAGCTTAATGGAACTACTCATGCATGTTTGCAGTAGCAGGGGGAGGGATGTAACTCAAATCTGGGTTTTGCTCTCATGAGTAAGTACAGAATCATGCTGCAAAACTGGCTTCTCGGACATCTAAACAAGGCAGAAGACAGTGTTGTTGGTTGCTTTACTGTGGTTTTTAAAATCAGAAGATTGAGTAGCCTCTAGTGGCAGCAGTTGCCTATGACAATTAACTTACATTCTGAATAGTAGGATTTGAACATAATGGCATAAGTCTTTAAATATGCATTTTTTCAAGTCTAGGGGTTTAGTTGCATATACCATATTTTAAACCTTTTCCAGATGTAAGACATTACCACAAACTTTTAGTTCACTCACTGAACTTACCTCTACCGCACCATTTAAGACAATAGCTGAGAATCATACATTATTTTGGGCCTGGGCTCCTTGCAAAAACAAATGCATAGAGAGAAAATTGCCAGACTAACAACAAAACAAAGTCAGTTTTAATTTAAGCAGAGTTACTATTAAAAAGCTAAGAAGAGAAGCACTTACTGTTGTAGAACCAAATTGCCCCCTCTTTCACAATGTGCTGTTTCCAGGCCCCAGACTTATCCGTTCCCAAGAAATATTTATATCTCTTGAACGCAAAAACAAGGAGTCAGTTTTCAGATATCAACCTGTTATAAGTGACATGACAACTACCAAAAGCAAAAAGCTAAACTGCAATTACTTTGCTGAAAAATCCTCTTCAAATCATTCACATAGGATCAAAAGCTAGCTGAATATTTACCTTAGATAATTGATTATAATGCATATGCTTTTTAACGGATACAGACAAATGTGAGTGCCCAGCAGAACAGCAGCCTTGCTGAATGTTTTAACAAGATGTACCAGGTAAGGGGGAAGAGATCATTTAGTTGCATAAGTCTTGGAGGGATCATAATATACAAGTCAGAGTTTTGCTCCTGTGTAGAGCAAAGCATATGGATGTTGGAATCATAGGGCCAGATTCTCAACTGAAGTCAGTGGAGCTATGCCAGGTCATGCCATCTGAGGATCTAGCCCAGTGATCTATAGGAACACTTCTATCTTTACCTTTTCATAACTTAATAATTTTACCTGTTTAAATATTTCCTTGTGCTGCTTCCAGGAAACCCAGTGAATCAAATAAGATAGGGGACTCCTTTTAACTGCCCTCAGGAGGAAGAGATCACCTTCACCAGTACACACCATCTACACGAAGTAGTGAGGGAAAGCAGTAAAGCCAGACCCATGTGTGGAGGAGGAATGACTTAACTGACTGGTCCTGCATGAAGTCTAGCCAGCATCTAACGCTTCCTGCTTAGAGGACAGCATGACTCATCTGCACTGAATGCAGAGTTTATGCACAGGTTTTGGTCCACCTGCACTGGAAACAGACAGACTTTGGCCCTTTCGAGGGTCCAAAAGAGCTGTAGTCACAAATGGAAACAGATGCTGCATGGCCCTGAGTAGGCTTGGGGATAGATCCTGTAAATGGATCTGCACAGGTGGGGCCCTGCAGCCACGTGGAGCCCCACTGCTCTCAATGGGGTCCAGTAGTGCACCCACATGCAATAAATTACAGGAGTGGGCCTTGTTGAGTCAGAAGTTCCCATTTTCTAGTAAAACCGCACTTCAATGTAATGCCGTTTGATTTATGAACACTTGGAAGAACACTTTACAGTTGGCCAGCTAAGTTGGCCACCAAGTCCCCCACATGAATGCACTGGTTGTGTTGAAACCCAGTTTAAGATATTTCAGCTCAAATATTAATGTCTTAGTCTTTCTTAATTGTGGTGCAATGTGACAGCAGCCACTTTTGCAGGAACTGTTGCTACTTGGAACATCAGTGCATCAAAATATTTCAATAGGAGTGATTTCCTTTAGTTCTTCCCTGGCTGCAAATTGATATGACATAATAGTCCCACACAAGCTTGAATAATCTTAAGCAAATTGTCACAAACGTACCCACAACAACCTTGTAAAAGTCATTTCACATTGTAACAGGGTTACTTACCTTACTGGTTGCTGCCTCAGTTTCCCTCAGGTAGAGTAGCCTGCAGTCTCCTCCTAGTGGATGAGTGATTGGGGTTCAGCCATCTGACCAAACCTCAGAATCCTTCCCCTTTCGGTGACTAACAAAACAACACAGCCAAACAAAACA